CATCATATATAGTAATTAATTTTAAACATAAAATTTTTAATGATTTGCAAATTTATAAAATTTTGCATGATTCTCTAATAGAAAATATTTTTCCTTTAAAATATTTAAAACTTACTAATAGTTTTGCTCTCCAGTGGCACAGTGGTATGTCTGCGGACTCGTACTACTAGAAACCGGGTTTCGATACCCATGGTGGGCAGAGCACAGATAACCCTTTGTGTAGCTTTGTGCTTAATAACAAACAACAATAATTAACAGTTTTAAATATGAAATTCCAATAGGACCTTCTATATATAATTATAACAACTCTTTTATATAATGTGCAGAATTTACAATGTGATTGCTACTCAAATTCTTTGGCAGATCCTTTTCATAAACATATTATTACTGGAAATTTGAATATAATAAAAAATAATTATTTACGAAAAAATCATAGAGAAAGTTGCTAAGTACAGAATAGCTACAAAATGGTAAAAAGTAGATATTTTAAAATCTATAAAGAAAAACATAGTAGATTATTTTCTGAAAATTGATTATTATCCACCAAATTGGTTTTTAGAATGGAGATATTATATTATTAATAGAATTAAAGATAAATTAATTATTTATTAATTGAAATAAATATTCATTAATTTTAACGGTTTTCATATTTTAAACTGGAATCTGTAAAATACGTAAGAAATATATTTTGTGCCTATCTATAAAGCCAACAGTAATTTATCTGTAAACGTTTTTATGCACAAATTTTAATTAATGAGATAAATGCTACACAAACTTTTAAGTTACAAAATAAGTCTAAAGAAGATATTATTAAGAATTTGTTGAAAGCTGTACAAAATTTGATGTTAAAACAACTCCATATTTAGAATTACTGTGTCTCACATTAAATTTCGTTTTATTTCTAGTTCAGTAAATACTGAATCAATTTGTAGTTTTATGAAACAAATTATTGAATCAGTTATTTGTTGAATTACAATAAAATGCAAGTAATAAACATAATTTCTGGATAATTAAAAATAATGAATTTGTCTTAAAAACTAGAAAATCTTAATAAAACACAATTAGCAGATACAATCCGAACATACGATTTCACTACATTATTTACAGCTTTACCACTTAATGATTTAGTAACAGTGATAAATTCGTTAATAGATCAATTTATAGATCTACTCATAAAAATAGAAAAACAAACTTTTACTGCTAATAACATCAAAAACATATTGTGTTTTTGATTATGCAATAATTATATTCATTATTATAAGTACATTTATAAACAAATGTAGGTACACCGATGGGTACTAATTATTCAAACTGTGTTGTTAATTTATATCTTTATTGTTACGGGAAAAAAAAATTATAAATAATTTTCCAAATTTGGAA